ATTACCTGCCACCCACCCTCACCCTCACCCTCACCCCCTCATCCTGACCCTGACCCTGACCCCCTGCCTAAGCATGAACCTAGGGCTCGCTGAGCCCTTCAGCTGTCTTTCCCTCCAGTTGGTTGCCGGTTCCCACTGAGTTCCCAGGCAGAACCTCTGTGAACTGTAACTCAGCCCCATGGTTGCAGGCGCTCCCTGGGCTGAGGGGGTGCAGCGGGGAGGGGCGGGGGGCGTGCAGCGCTGCTGGTCTGCTCTCCTGAGGCCGCAGAGCTGGCAGGCGCTTACAGACCTGCTGGGAGGGCCCTGGCCGCTGTCTGGGACCCAGTGTGCGCCTGAAGGCGCTGGGGCCCTGCTCCTGCTTCCTGGGCCTCCCCAGGCGTCTGGGTGGAAGGAGCAACACTCGGGGGTCCGGCTGCTCCTCGTGGGGGTCAGGGAGGGAGCCCAGCGTGTCCAGGCTGCCACTCAGGACGGAGTTGTCACTTCACCCAAACACTGAGTCTGCTGAAGGCGTTTGTGTAGAGCGAGACCGTGAACAGTGGAAAAGAACTCCTGGTCATTTTGGGGACAGACTTGAAGGCTCCAAGGCTAGATTCAGGGGGTGAGGTCGCCCAGAACTGCACTCTGGCGCTGTCCCCCAGGGGGAGGGGCCTGGGTGCATATTCAGAAAGAAGCACGTAAGCAACGAAGAGGAAGGCAGGGGCCACCGGGGACCTTCTGTGATTGGCCAGTGGGATAAAGAGCGATTGAGCACGGGGCAGCGAGTGACCCAGAGAGGGCGGTCAGGTAAGTGTGGCCCCGCTCCCCAGGGGACAGACCAAGGGGATGGGTGGCGGGGGGGGGGGAGTTCAGGAGGGGACGTGAGGGGCTGTCACTACACAGAGAAGCTAAGAAAACTACAGAGAACAAAACGTGGGTAGTTGTGCAATGTTTCTTCAAAACATCCATGGAAATCCTCACCGTAAAAGTGGCATTTCCGCGCCAGCCATGGCGGGAGGGGGTTTAGGTAGCAGCAGAGCCCCTGAGGGCCGCCCACCTGGACGGGGCTGGAGCCATGACGGGACCTGCCTCGCGAACCCGACAGGGAGGCTCCCGCTGTCACCTGGCTTGTCCAGGTCACGTGACAAGCCCGTGACCAGGGGCCTCTCGCCCACGCCGTCACGCTTTCTCGTTCCATGACATCACGCCTGCCTGCTGCAGCTTTTACAGTGTCCTCCTCCTTGTTTAGAAATCAGGGCCAGGCTTCCACTCGGAAAACATGAGAAACGTCGCCCTCTCCAAGCAGGTTCTTAGCGAGGCCAGCGCCTGACTCAGTGCCTCA